GACATTAGCATCCTGAAGTCGGGAGGTAGAATGTCCTGATAGTACTTCATAGCGTAGCTACATAGCAGTAAGGGTTCCTTGGCTTTGGCCGCATCCTTGTCAAATGGGTGGTTCAGTTCCCTCATCGGGGCAGAGGATCGTTTAGGTAGGAGTCCCTAAAACGACTCTTTGGTCATGCGGTCATAGACCGTGGTACCCTTGATTTGTAACTGTTGTGCCCATATCTCTGCCTTCTTCTTTTGAATATTATTCCACTTAGTTAGCAATCTTGCTCACTCCTTTCCCCAAACCAAGTTTGATATCTCATGTTCAGACATCTTCTTTCGGCATACTCAATCCTTTTACGCAGTCTTACTTCTTTTAAGTTTCTCTGAAATGCCATAATTTTGAAAAATACAAACAAAAGGTTGGAAAAGATTATAACCCTAGTTTTTCACCACTCTGAAAGGTTGGGGTACATATTCTTTGCATCCTACCAACTGGTCCAATAATTACGCATCCAACTGATCAGACCTTCATCTTGAAGGTTTTCTGTATTCAACCGAAAAAGGTTTGGGCCACTAGTTTATTTCGAGGTAAGAACCGAGAGGAATACAAGTTTGTGGTCCGAAAGGGGATTCGACCATTTGGTAATGTCATTGATTGCTTCCTACAGATTACCTGAAGTTAAAAAGTAATCCAGGCGGCGACAAATAACCCCCACGTCCTCCCTTGGATTAGATAGTCATGTAAAGCCTTCCCTATCAGGGTGAATCATCCGATACGGATCGATTAAATCCAGGGAGTTCATGAGATCGTAAAAGAGTGTTTATCCGAGGACCCTGCCCCACCCTGGAGGAAAGTACTCAAGTGAAGTGAAGAGTTTCAGTCACGAGTCAAGACTGTATTATCCCCTTCGGGAAGAATAAAAAAAAGTTCATCGAAAAAAGAAGCTCGATTACGAGGATTTGTGGGGGTATAGATGGAGGCGATAATCCAATGTTTTCCTTTTATAAACAATTTCACCCATGCCCATCTCCCCCAAATGTCCACAAAAAGTCAATAATCTCGGTGTCAAGGTTTCAATGCACAAGGATTCTCACTCTCCCTCTCGAACCAATTGCAGGGGACCACACCTTAATTTTGTTTCTTGTAAGCAAGCGATGGAAATCCTATTTTCGTGGATTAGCGATTTTAACCTGTTCTTTTTTAATCTTCCCCCCGAATCTCCCAAACCTCTAAAGTTTCAGCTCATCAGTTTAACTTTAGACATGAGTGGGTTGTCCCCCCTAATTTTGTTGGATCCGGGGGGGTCAACATCGGCTCCGGTGGCCATGCAGACGTTAGAGACATTCTTACAAAGTTGGAGTTCAATTTCTTATCTTTCGGAAGCTTAGCTTCCAAGTCCATCAAACATTCCACGGATTTTAGTGATGGAATATAGATGCGACATAGTTCTTGTGGTTTCCGTTCCACAAACCAAGTGATCGGAATGAGGCGCATGCCTTGAGATTCGAGAGCTTCCAGTTGTCCATAAAAAAATCAGACATCAAGCAAGTCTAAATTATCTGTCAGGATCCTAATCATCGTTATGTCTGGAATCAAGCGAAATGCAAATTTGTCTTTGATAGCCGTGCGAATCAAAATCGCTATGGAAGAGGGCATCGGAGTACCAGCAAACTTACCATAGCTAGAAAGTTGTTTGAAATTTCAAACGCAATTGTCCAGAAAGCGTTACGAACAGCCACACAGAAAAACGGCAGAATATTACTCTCAATATCTTGAAGTTGTCCTTTCGCCAGTGAAACAGGGATGCGTCTATGAGTCGTCTTGGTACCTAGGGTACCAATCACAAAGATATTCATATCCAATTCTTGTGACGATGTAGCGGAGGGTTCCCCCTCCAAATTGCCTCCCTCTGAGATGAAGCTATCTTGATGATCGAGACAACGTTGTTTGCCCGCCATGCTGCTTCGTGGTCTTGGGGAGTTCCTCTCTGACTGCCCTCCCTCAGCTCCGCTCGCTGAGGGAGCTTCAGTGCCCCTTGGATACAGCATTGACGGGTGCATAATTGGTGGCGACATAGCCCTGATGACGGGACTCCTGTCACAATATATCACGGCCCCCCCCCAATAGGGGGTGGTTGGCTAGCGAATGGAGCGAAGGCTGAAGTGGATGGCTGGATGGTTCCAGTTTGCTGCGGAACCCCAAACTGCATCTGAGGGGCATTCCACGACATGGGCATCGACAAATTCCAGAATTGCCCCATCAAAGGATGGCTATTATGCATCGAAGGGAGCAGCGGAAGTCCGGCCGGCTGATAAAGAGCCATGCCCGGTGAGAACATCTGATTGTTCTGAAGCGAAACTCCCTGATGAAATAATTGGCGGCAAAGATATCGCCGGAACTGGCAAAATATTGGCTCCAGAAGATTCTGGAGGCGGGCCCAATGGCCATTGATACTGAGCAGAAGTCGCACCTTGTCCTCCAGCTTGTTGACCGTTAATCCCTGACATTGAGGTAGCTTTATTTTGATGTTGATTGTTCCTTCTGCATTCCGCATCGAAGTGAAAAAACGCGAGGCATCTACAACATCTCGGAGTCTCTATTGAAGCTAATTTCACTTCGAGGGAATCACTCTCCGAAGTGTCAATCCAAATCTTATCCTTTATATTTGAACGTGTAGACGTATCAATCTCAAACTTGATGATGTTGAGAAAGGTAGGCCGCATCTGATCTTGCTCCGGAGGAAAGGACCGCACAACTGGTCCAATCGCCTTGTTCACCTGTGCTTCTAGAATCAAGAAAGCGTCTAGCGGCACTTGCACCGCCACGACCCAGAAGTGTTGTTCATCTTCTCTTTGACGTTGAGCACGTAATTGAGCTTTAGTAAGCCAGGGTTTCAACTCAAAAATATATTGAGTAGACCCTATACTTACTTCGTCTTGGCCTTTCTCGATTAGCCACCTCGCAATTTCACTGGTGCGTGCTACATAAGACACAATGTTCGGACTTTCAATCTTCACTCAACCCCGACTAAAGTTATGAGCTTCGAATGTGCCATCCGTGTCTTCTTGTCCTCATAAGCCCGAACGATGTTATCCTTGACATTCCTCGGAAGGAATCTCGCTCCAACTCTGAAGATGAAAGTTACCGTATGCTCCTTCAGCCAGTTGATCTTGGCTTGATCCAACACCACATTCACTTTGAATCGTGCTTCAAGCCCTTCAATTGTCATTTCTTTCGGGTCAATGCCCGTAGGCATCATCCCATCGAGGTAACACATCCGTATCAATTCCCTAAGTTGTGTGTTGTTGTCGTCCCCCCCGAGGAGGAGCTTGAGGAGGCGATCTCGCTCCAATATATCGAGTTCCGACTTGAGCTCCATCTCCACCAGCTTCTGCCACTCCTTCCATAATTACTGTTGTATCCATCCTCTGTAACCTACTTCTTGCAATAGAGACTTTGGTTCTCTTGGCTGGTAAACTACTCGGTCAACATGCATGACCTACACTGTCACCATCTCTAACCTTGTTGAGGCCTACCGGGTGTCTAGTCTAAGGCAACCTCCATGTCCTCTCACTACAGACATGACCTAGGGCAAGGCTAGGTGAAGGTGCCTCGAAACTGCCGTGAGGGTATCTCGATGGTACCACCCGTCGGCAGACACTCCGTCGTTACCAACAAAGAAGCGCTTGGTCCGAGCGCTCCGGTTCCCCGGTAGTGGTACCGCATCTGCTTGCCAGGACAAGGGCAAAAGCAAAAGTTTGGGCCGTCGTACCCCTGTCTTTTAGGGGTATCTGACGAAATACCCTAACTTTTAGGGGTACTAACAGTTTTTCCATTCAATTTGAAGAAAAGGGAAAAAGCTAAAAAAGTTGCTCTGTAGGCCTGTTTTCCCCGGTAGTGGTACCGCATCTGCTGGCTGAGGCTCCATACTTCTCATTCGTGCAAGGGCCGGTAGTCGCACCACGTCTCAGATGCCAGTAGCGGTCGCTTTTAGCTAGGCAAAATAGGCAAAATGCACTTTTGATTATTCAAGGCTGCTTCGGATGGACAGATGTCCAAAGGACTATGTAATTTCCCGCCTGAAAGAATCGTTCTTGCATTTACGAGGTAATGGTACGCCAACGTCGAGCGCGGGATTAGATGTCCGCCACTTGGCGGAGTGCTTGCAGGCGTGGCATGAACGCATCTGACCACACACGAGCCCATATTTAGTCGGGAAGCAGTAGGCTGGCGGTAGACTTCTGTCACCGTCTTCACGAAAACGAAATCGCTTTTCGCCAGGAAGGGGGGGAGCAAGGCCGCAGTAGGCACCTGGGTGTTTTCGCGGAGGCTCAGGCACGGGGGGCGCGGCGGTTATTCAAGCAGGATGAGAACTGACAAAGGGTGTAGCCATGCTGTACGAGGAGGGGAAAAATGCCGCAGGAAAAATACGACTGCGTGGTGTGATTTCTCATCTCCCCTGTCGAAGGGGCGGTGGGTCGAGGTGGACAATTGTGTTCGATTGCTGATCTTGTAGAGGCATTTCCTACTATTTCGTCGTCGAACAAATTTAGACGAAAGCAAGTCTGACTTCATACCGGCTTGGGTCGGGGCGTCTTGTTTTCGCTGCTGCTCTGGGTTGTGTCTGTGTAGGCGCACGGCCGGGTGGTGAATGATGCGCGCTTGCGTTTCTTTAGCAAGTAGGGTGCAGCCTGAACAAAAGCACAGCCATAACAGAGGCAGACCCATTCGCACCCAAACACACACACACACACACACACACACACACACACACACACACACACACACACA